AACCGCTTTGGTTATAATGATGAAATCTTATCAGATTTTATTTATGCTGTCATTGCAAATTTTTACTTCTTTGTCCTTTTCTTGTAGTAATACAGCAGGTTGCACATACACCACCCAGAGAACTTCATCACCTTGTGCTGAACATGATCCACTGTTGTACTTCCTGGTCTCTTTCCTTCTAGTTCCTTGGAAGCAGCAAGGGACAACTTCTTCTTCTCCTACTTCTTTTTCTTCTTCTTCATCTTTCTTTCTTTCTTTCTTTCTTTCTTTCTTTCTTTCTTTCTTTCTTTCTTTCTTTCTTTCTTTTCTTTAAGTATACAATCCCAGGACCCAGCATGGCCTCCAGCTGATTTCAAGCACTTGAGAAATATTTGTGCAAAGCCTTTTGAGGAAGCAGTTGACCACATTGATTGGAACAAGAAGTGTTGGGTATAAATTAAAGATTGGGGGAGATGAGAGAAGGCCTTAAATAGATGGCTGCATTCTTCAGACTATCCCAAAGCAATAAATATTTATTGAGGGTGATGTGAGGAGTGTTTGAGAAGGACTAATCAGGTGGAAATCAGTATGAGTCCTAGATGAGAAAGGAGATGGAAGCTATTGCATAAGTTAATAGAACCCTCAACTGCAGGTGTGGTTGTGGGAATAAAATAATCAGAGGAAGAGAAAAGAGATGTTATCAAGGAAATGTCAAAATACCAGTGGTTCCACCTTTAAATATTGGTCACTTGTTTTCAGGTGTTATCCTAAGCTTTTGAAGGCTAAGACTATTTTGTTAATTGTTGGTGCACTCAACTTGGTCTCAGGTCTAGAGGTCTTGATGAGCTACACATAAACATGTAGTAAATGGGTTTATCCTTTAGTGGGAAAAGCTGTTTAAGCAAGAATTTGATGTCAGTGATATGGTTACCCTTTTCAATCGCCGTATTTATCAGACTACTTTGGTGTTGATCCACATTGAGAACATTTTTTTTTTTAAGATTTTATTTATTTATTTGACAGAGAGATAGAGAGAGAGCACAAGTAGGCAGAGAGGCAGGCAGAGGGAGAGGGAGAAGCAGGCTCCCCACCGAGCAGGGAGCCCGATGTGGGGCTCGATCCCAGGGCTCTGGGATCATGACCTGAGCCAAAGGCAACCACTTAACTGACTGAGCCACCCACGTGCCCCATTACATTGAGAACATTTTGATTAAATGAATTAGACATATACTTTGGTATTTTTAACAATTTTAAAAAGATGTAACAATCATCTACTTTTGGTCCTTTCTACATGTCTACTAACTAAAAGTGTTTTGAATGTTTGTTTAGGAAAAAAAAAAATTTAAATGTATTAAATCCCAAAGGAAAAACAAGATAGAGGAGAAGAAGAAAAAAGAGGCAAATGATTGATTAAATTTAACAGGGCCTTCATTTTTCATTCATTGATGTGTGTTTAAGTATCCTTCAGTTTTAACTGAATTTCAGGTTGAATCATATATAACTACTAGGAAACTCTTTGCCACAGTATCCCACGGCTGGAGTCATTTCAATTAATTAAGTGTTGCAGAGGTTAGTAACAATTTTAGGCTACAAAATAAAATTATTTCATGAAGTGGCAAGTTCCTCGTGTGTTTTCTCTTCCTTCATCTGGATTATGGCAGGCAGAAATTGAATTGTGTCAATAGATTAGAAAGAGCCTTATCCCTGGAATGACTTCAAAGACCAATCCAAAGCCTTGTGTGAAAAAGGAAGAAAAATAAATAAATAATCATGTATAATCAAAAGTACTTTACTCCCAGTTGAGAGGTTCTTACAACTTTCTGAATTGTGGTTAAGTTAAAGGCGAGATATTATAAATTTCCCCATCACTCTAAAGTTTATAAAATATTCAAGAAAATCAGTTTCTTGTTCAATTCTTAACACCTAATGTAAAAAAAAAAAACACAGAATAAGAAAAACATATCTCAAATAATCAATAAATACATATTGAATTCATTGTCAATCCCAGCCACTCCAGCATTACACTAATTGAAGTTAAGAATAGTAGAAAGACTAGGGGCACCTGGGTGGCTCAGTTGGTTAAGCGACTGCCTTCGGCTCAAGTCATGATCCTGGAGTCCCTGGATCGAGTCCCGCATCGGGCTCCCTGTTCAGCAGGGAGTCTGCTTCTCCCTCTGACCCTCCCCCCTCTCATGCTCACTCTATCTCATTCTCTCTCTCAGATAAATAAATAAAATCCTAAAAAAAAAAAAAAAAAAGAATAGTAGAAAGACTATGATCTTGTACTCAGGTGCTTTATAATCTTATTCTCTATTCAAGATGTATACATTGACAACACTTAAAAATAAAGGCAACATGTAATAAAATAACAACTTATACAGTGGAAGGGAGGAGGGTATGAAACAGATTAAAAAAAACAAACCTAAAATCATTCAATGCTTACATTGTGCCACACCTGGTGCTAAAATTTTAAATAAAAAAAATTTCAATGTTTTTTTCTACCAAAAAGGTAATAACAAAAATAATGTATTACATTTGCTAAAATTGAGAAACACATGTGAGAATAAAAGAAATGACAATCTTCTGTAAATTGACTATCTATTAACCAACATTAAAATTTTGACATATGGCATTTCTTCCAGCATTTCCTATGATAATGGCATATCAATATATATTGATCATATCATGTAAGCAATTTAACTGAATTTTTCACTTAACATCATGAGCACTATTCCATGTCGTTAAATATTTTTTTTCTGTAACATTATTGTAAATCTCTAAAACATTCCACTTTATGGATATGCTATCATTTATTTGATTAATCTTTTAGTTATTCGTAAGTTAGCTCATTTAATTTCAGCAATCTTTGATTTTAAAAGGAACTTTTCCACTTCACACATCTATACTACAATGCCATATTTATTTGCTATACTAAATTACAATTTTATGTATATATAAAAGTACTACATTAGTGACTAAAAATTAACGTTGTGCCAGAAATATGAAGAAACATGAAGTATTGTCATGTGACCCTAAATTCCTGGGAGACGCTATCTGTATGTTAGCCATTCTCTTGGCTAATGCGATGCCTATGGTAGAATCAATAAATATTTATGGTTGATCACAAAACTTTATAACAAGCACATACATGTTCTTCTTTGTTTGTGCCTGCACATAGGGAATAAAGGAAGAGAGGGTTGCTTAAATCAATATACTAACCTGCAAGCTGGGTAAGTAATGAGAAAAGTAGAGAAGTAGAATTAAGGCAAGGGACTATTTTACTCTGGAAGCTAAAGAAACAAATGACAAAGAAAGAAAGAAGTAAATGGGTTCAAACACATCGAAATTAAAGACAGGACATTTTATTTGATGAAATTCCATAAAAGAGAGTGGTGATATAACTAAAGGCAGAGAAAAGGAGAGGTAACAGGGTAATAGTGTTTAAATAGAAACATTATTACAAGTTATGCTAGAGAGAAGGTAAGCAAGGACTTCTGTTTTTAACTAAGAGGCAGTAACAGAAAACAGATTTGCTCTCTTGTCTAAAACAACCAAAAAATCCAGACAAAACAGACAAAACAGTGGTTTCCATGATATTGAATATCAGACAAGAAAACGGTAATGCCTAAGAGATAGGAAACCAACATGATGAGTCTTATGACTTCCTCAGCTCATTGCCTTGAGGGAATTCCAGTGCTGTGGAAGAGGGGAGGGAGGCCAGACAGATCATGGGCCATCTTCCCAAGCTGAGGAGAGAGAGATGAAGGTCTTGGAGAGGCTCATTTGGTGAGAAGTCACAGGATAAGAACCATGAAGTGGAGAGCTGAACAAAGTGAGAATTCCAGAGATCTGCAAAGGGCTCCCCTTGAGCAGTCAGCAGAATACTGAGCAGCACATGTGTGTGATGAATATACCCCAAGCTAGGGAGAGAACCACTTGAAAAGATTAGCAGGGACAGTATCCAGCATCACACGGGGTTGAAAATAGTGTTTGCTCCCTATTGCCAAGCTGGAAAACTTCACAATTCAGAAATTACTGGGTAGTAAGAAGAGTCTTACCTTAGCACTAGGGAATAATTGGCCCTAGATACTGCTCTGACCTTGCCTGACAAATATTAAAAGCAAGACAGAAAAATATCAAACTGTTTTCAGGTAACTCAACAGAATACAAGAATATTTACCGGAATACAAAATTACTTGACACTCAACAAGATAAAATTTACAATGTCTGGTATCTAATCAAAAATTACTAGGAATGCAAGCGAGCCGGAAACAGGAACCATCATCATGAGAAAAAGCAATCAATTAAACAAATACCGAACTGATACAGATTTTAGAATTTTCATTAAACATTAAAACGTTAAACATAATAAACATTGAAACAATTATACTGTATTTTATATCTCCCAATGGTAAGTATTAACATGGAAATATTAAAAAAAAAAGACCCAGATCTGAATTTTAAAGAAAAATTCCACAATCTCTGAGATAAAATGCACAGTGGATGCGTGTCTTAGTCATCTTGAGCTGCTATAACAAATTACCATAGATTGGATGGCATAAACAACCACATTTATTTCTCACTGTTCGGGAAGCTGGGAAGTCTGAGATGAAGGTGCCAAAAGTTTCAGTGTCTGATGAGCACCCTCTTCCTGGTTTGCAGACATCGATCTTCTTATAGTGGAGAGAGAAAGAGGCTGTCTGGTCTCTTCTTATGAGGGCACTAATCTCATTGTGAGAGACCACCCTCATCTAAACCTAATTACCTCCTAAAGTTCTCACCTCCAAATATATCACTTTGGGGGTTAGGGTTTCAACGTACGAATGTATGACAAACACTCCCAGCAGTGGAATTAAGAGCACAGTAGACATTGCAGAGGAAATGATAAGTGAATTTTAATACAAAGTAATAGAAACATCCCAAAATTAAACACACAAAGAAAAAAAGAATTTAATTTAATAAATTTATTTATTTATTTATTTACTTATTTATTTATTAAGAATTTTAAAAATAAAGAAAAAATGCATCTATCTGACAGACATGGAGCAGTTATTGTATTCTGATAAGGTTTTCACTACAGATACAAGAGAAAAGTATCCTGGAGCTTTCTGTCTAAGTGTGGCAGCCAAGATTGAATGGGGGAATACAGTAATTACAAAATATGTGGGTGGGGGAAATAATTTTTTGCAACTCAGAAATAAACCTGTAAGCAGCAAATAGCTTAGTTATACTAAAAAAAGGAATCTAAATTTTGAGTTTTTTAAAAAAATGGAAAAGTGTCAGTGAGCTGAATGACAACTTCAGGTGGCCCAAAATGCATATAATTGGAGTTCTTGAAGAAGGTGAGAGATAGAATAAAAAATATTTGAATAAATAATGACTAGAAAGTTTTCAAACTTGATGAAAACCATAAACCTCCAGATTAAAGACATGCAATAAAATCCATAGACAAGAAATGTTAAGAAAATCACATATTCATAATCAAATTTCTCAAAACCAGTAATATAAAGAAAATCTTAAAAGCAACCAGAGCAAAAAAAAATTTTTTCTAAATAAACAAGGAAAAAGAAAAAAAATGTAACATACAAAGAAACAAAGGCAGGGATGGCAGAGAATTCATTTGTTACAGGCAAATGAGAAGTCAGTGGGACAATCATTTTAAATTACTAAAAGAAAAAAACAACTGTTAAACTTGAATGATATACCTATAGAAAATATATTCTCAAAACAAAAGTGAAGTAACAATTCAATTAAAAGTAAAGATTCAGTGGGGAGCCTGGGTGGCTCAGTCAGTTAAGCATCTGCCTTTGGCTCAGGTCATGATCCTGGGGTCCTGGGATTGAGCCCCACATTTGCTCCCTGCTCAGTGGGGAGCCTGCTTCTCCCTCTCCCTCTGCCCCTCCCCCTGTTTGTGCGCTTGCTTGTGCTCTCTGTCAAATAAATAAAATCTTCTTTTTAAAAAAAGTAAAGACTCAATTAAAAAGACTCAAAAGATGAAAAATTAAAGGAAGTCTAGTCATTTGTGCCAGGGATGAATTAATAGAGGTGCTGAGGGATGATCCAGAAAGGTCAATCCCATGGAAAGAGAGGTTTAATATCACAGTTCCCCTAGAAATGAGAGGCACGGCATGCCATTCAGGGCCACAGGAGGAAGCCTGGGTGTCAGCCAGGAAGCAGAAAGGAGCAAGGAGAAAGCCTAGGGTCACAGCCTTTATTGTGTGTTTTTCAGGAAAGGCAAGGCAGGGCAGGACAAACAGCTTAGGATTCACTAATTTGAATAATTTCAGCAGGCTTTGGGTCCTAGGGACTGCTGCTAGATATCTGGTTCCTGGCTCTGGATCGTTTTAGGATAGGAGACACATTGGATTGGTGTCTGAGTTAAATAAATTTGGTGGTCAGAGATATGGACACAGAATTGGTTGTTGTATATGAAAGGCAGGCTCCCCAATAAACTATTTATTGTCTCTAGGAATCAGAGACAATAAAGAGACAGGGAAAGGCAATCTCATCCCTGCAAAGACCCCTAAAGATGTTAAAACATCATAAAATATTAAAAAAATGAAAAATATGATGAACACAATTGGCTCTGTAATATTTAACATAATATATTAATATCATATTAAGGAAATTTTGGGGTGATGACAGCAGGGACTTTTAGAGCAAAGGGCTTATGTTGCCCTAAACAGCATAAAAAACATTTTATTCTGAGAGTAGAAAGGCAGAACACAAATAGAAATATAAAGAGTCTGTGCAGGCCAGCCCATAACTAAGTTTTCCATTTATATGGCATTAGTCAGGAAAATAGGCTTGGGATTTTTGCCCTTAATAATATTTTGGTGGAGTTGTAAAGTGTGTTAGAAATATATTCAGGTCAAGGTGGCTGGTCTAGTGGGTATATTGTTGGAGGATCTGAACTGATAAGATAGTAAAGTATATGTAAAGATTAGTGATATTTGCATGTAGCCAAGGGGAAGGAGTGGTCATGGTTGGAGATGCAGGGCAGGAGATCACAGTGGAGGAGAGCAACAGGAGAAGGAGCTGGGGGGTGGTGAGTGGTCCTCTCCCAAAAAGTTGAGGGGTTGGCTGATATGGGGCAGTTGCCTTCTGAGGAAAGCAATAATCTCCATTAGTTTTTAGAATAGAACATATTGTAGCAACCTTTAGACATGATGGTGTAAGGACATAGCAGTGAGCCGAGCATACGCCAGGATCATGGGCTAAGCAGACAGCAAGCTTAGAAACATAATAGAATCCTTTGGATATTACAAGGGGAGAGAAGCAAAACTGTCCCGGGTCCAAGTTGTGTCTTAGGAGAAAAAGCCCATGGGTGTTGCTGGGACAGATTTTAGTGCCCAGGATAATGTTGTTTCTCATGCAGGGGAGAGTCTTGGCTTGGGGTGATGTCCTCTGAGTCAATGTCATTTCCAGGAATGAGCTTCCAGGCCAGGAAGATTCCATTTGGAATGTGGGACTGGAAGTATTCTTTTTCAGGTGGATAGCCAGTTGGGATGATGTGGGTCTCAGCATTTGCCATATTTGGTTGAAACCATAGTTTATGTGGAGGGTTTGGGCCTTTACACTATAAATCAAGGCAAGCACCCACGATGAGATATAATATGACCAATAGTCACCTGACCAGTCTGTCACTGCACTTGAAAGGGTTTTGGTTTTGTTTTTTGGTGGAAGTTTAGGTTCAAAGGGACCCATATCAGATGACCCATGGGTAAATCTAGGATTAATGGACTCCAGGAGAATATGTGCCCTCAATCTGACCACCAGTCTTTATGGGATTGGGACAGGATTGACAATTTGTAAAGATAGGGGCAAAATATAGGTTCATCTGTCAGACTAGAATTTGAAAAGGAGTTTTTGAATAGACCACATGTTTCTCAGTTGAACCAGCAATTGGGACATATTAGGGACATGAAAGTTCCATTGAATGCCTTTTCCAAGAGCCCAGCATTATGCATTTTGTAAAGTAAAATGTATGTCTTGGTTGCAACCAGTGATGTTAATAACTCCAAAGGAAATAGTGTCCTGACAAGGCCTTGTATTGTAGCATTAGAACATGTAGAGACATGTATGATTCTGATTTATATTTGAGGTATCTATGAGACAAGAGGTGCCCAGGGTTTCATTACCTTGAGGGGAACAACTTTTAGGTAATGGCCCAAAAGTTTATAATAAATATGAAGATAAGACCATTTGTTGGTCAGAGCATCCGGTATTAAGATGACTGCTTGAACTTGACCAAGTGTGTTGACCTTTGGGTCCTGTCTTTCATATCTTGGCTAAGTAATGGAAGGCAGCAAAATTCCATTGAGCTCTATCACATATAATGGTTAGTAGTGTTGTTCTCATGGTCTACAAACTCCCATTGCTGTTCACAAAGTTAATCCCAAGGGGTCAAGATTTTGGGGTGCTTTTTCCAAAATCCATAATGGGCAGCCAAGTATGCAGGGTTACAGGTTCAGGGTCATTTCCAGGAGACCCTACTGTGAAGCCAACGATTATTATTTTAACGATATATTCCATCAGACTGAAAGGGGCAGATTTTCGTATCAAAAGACATTGAGCAATCAATGGCCATCATGGGTGGTTCAGAGATTCCCAGAAGTGTGAGAAAAGAAGAGAAAGAAAACTTTGTGACCCTGAGTTAGACAATGATTTCTCAGGAGTGACACCAAAAGCATGATCCGTAAAGGAAAAAAAAAAAAAAAAATCAAAATTTAAAACTCATATTCCCCAAAATGCATTAAGAAATGAAAAGGATGGGCGCCTGGGTGGCTCAGTTGGTTAAGCGACTGCCTTCGGCTCAGGTCATGATCCTGGAGTCCCTGGATCGAGTCCCGCGTCGGGCTCCCTGCTCGGCAGGGAGTCTGCTTCTCCCTCTGACCCTCCCCCCCTCATGTGCTTGCTCTCTCTCTCAAATAAATAAATAAAATCTTTAATAATAAAAAAAAAAAGAAATGAAAAGGACTAGACCAGACTAGGGAAAAAAAAACTTTGAAAGCAAAGAACTTGTATCTAGAATACATAAAGACTGTTCAAGCTCCATCATAAGATGAACAACTCATTAAAAAATAAACAAAAAGGTGAGCCAACCATTCAAAGAAAGCATACAGATGGCAAATAAGCATAGAAAATATTTGACATAATTAGTCATTAGGGGAATAAAATTCAAACAAGCATAGAATACCACTACACACAGATTTAAGTGTCTAAAATCAGGAGAGAAAAAGGTTGGCCTTATGAAGTATTTGCAAGTATGTGGAGGAACTGGAACTAGAATTCCCAAGCACACTGGAAAACCATTTGGCATTTCTTAAAAAGTTAAACATCACCTACTGTATGATCTAGCCATTCCACTCTTAGGTGGTTTACTTAAGAGAAATGAAAGACCTGCATACAAATGATCAGAGCAGCTTTATTTGTAATAGCCCAGACCTGGAATCAAACCAAATGCCTATCGATACGGGGCTGCATGCATACATTTTGGTGTTTTCCTAAAATGGATTAGTCATAGCAACAAGAAAGAATCAAGTATTGATACATGCAAACACCTGGGCAAATTGGGTGAGACTGGGCGCATTCAGGGTGGTAGGGCTGTAGACACACCTGGATAAATCCAAGAGTGATTGCACGGAGTGACATAATCCAGAGAAAAGAGGATACATATTGAATAATTTTATTTACGTAAATCCCCCCAAAATGAAAATGAACCTATAATGACGGGACACAAATTAGTGGTTGTTTGTAGATGGAGGATCTACAGGGAGGGGCAGAAGGCAGTTTAAAGGGGTACCAGGAAATCTTTGCCTTTGGGGGTGGTAGCTATATTAACTACCTTGACTATGGTGATGGTTTCACAGTTTTATATGTATGTCAAAGTGTATCAAAATGTGCACTTTAATTATGTGCACTTTATACCTCCATTAAGTGGTTTAAAAAATAACAATTAGGAAATATACATGGAACAATAATTGTATTTTTGGTGAAATGGAATCCTGATAACCCCCATAACAAAAACAAAAGGACAAAGGTGTGGCAGGACTATCAACTGAATATTTTAGAAGCCCCTAGCTTCAATGATAATAGATGATTGATAGATGATGGAGAGAGAGGGAGAGAGAGAGAGAGAGAAGACTGTA